ACTGGAGTAAATTCAGTGCAGCTTTATTGACTTTTATGAGTGCTCTAGAATTACATTGATGTAATTTGGAGTGTATTCCAACTCAAGGACATTTATTTGAAGCTGCAATCTACCTCTCCCTCCTGTACAAAGGCAAGCATTTAGTTCATTTCAGCTATGATAAATTATTTGCATCAGAAATGCTGACTCTCTAAAACCTGAGATTTTGGGGAAATGTTATTTATGCTAAAAGTATTAATTCCTAATAGTTTTCGGTCTCCTGCTTTACTACTTCTCGTCTTGCTCTCATTTTGGGTCATTATCCCGTACTACATCCCATATGTGTGCCTTTGGCAGCCCAAAAGGTATGATTTGTGTTTTGATTTTCCTAGCCAGTTTGCTGACGGCAGTGACTGCCACTGGCATTTTTCCAGCTGGTTGTTTATTTTGTTACTGCTACAGAAAAAATATTCATAAGATATGGTTCATTTTTTTAAGGGGGAAAAAGGCTTTTTTTTTACAACCAATGAAAAAAACACTATGCTTACCCCACTTTTCTGATCTTAAAGATTAAATGAAGAATGAAGCTGGAAGACTTTTTAGTTTCATTTTCAGTACTGTATAAAAAATACTAAAATGTTTCAATTAGTCTTCAGAATTCCAGGTTGAAGCTTTTGCTATTTTGTTTGTCCAGGTCCTGGTGACAACAAGGAAATGTGCCCCACAGGCTGTGCTTCATTTTATTTTTTAACCTTCCAATTCCTTGGCAAGCCCAAAAGTAAGGTGTGCATTCCCCAAATTTGTCTAGCCAGTCCCAGGAAACCAGTATACACGAAAAGCAATACATAGGGAAAGATAGACTTGTCAGAGAAGCAAACTGTGCAGGGTTTCAAACAAAAATTGTAGGAGAGCCATGCACTCCATAACGTACCTCCAGTAAGGCAGGGTGGTGGCTGCAGCACCATGGAAAGCTCCACGTGAGCACCAGCAAAGGCTGAAGGTAGACTTGAGCCCTTGAGTCTTTCTGCCCAATCAACCTTTAATAAGCTCCACCCTCCTGCCTAAAGAGTGTGGCTCCTTAAGGGCAGCCCTTTGGTCTGAAGTTGGGCACAGCCATACGACAGTGGAACCAGCGGCCTAGAGAGGTGGTGAGACATTTGTAAAAATGCTGGACAGCCATCTGAGTGGGATGGTGTAAGCTGGTGTCCTGCAACCGCAGGGGGGTGGACCCGATGGCCTTCGTGACGCCTTCCAGCTCTACTATTCTGTGATCTCTTCCTTTATGCAGCTGCTTGCTCTTTGTGTTCCCCACAGTATTGTAGAAGGAACTTGACTTCTCGGGCAAACAGAACATTGAAGAAGGTGCGTGTGAGGATCCTGGCTCAGTTTTTGTATGCTTCTCACCAGTACCCTCAGGTTCAGTAGCAGAACCTGATCCGCTTGCTCAACCAGTTCCTCTGATGCATCTGGCTCTTCCTCTTAAAGGTTAATGTTGGAACAGTAACAGCTGAAGCGGTACAGTCCTGGTACATGGAATAGGATACTTCTAATTGCACTATCCTGAGAAACGGAGGAAGAAAGTGCACTTGGGAAGTTCATGTACTTTGTGGTGTGTGCTGTGATATAGAAATGAAATGATGATGATGATGATGATGATTCAATAATGGAAGCAGAATACCAGAAGTCATTGTGAATTATTTTTCCCTGACATGAACCCTTTCTGCTCATTTATTTACTACATTTCTGTATCGCCCAATAGTCAAAGCTTATGAGCCTACTACATAAATAAGCCACTTAAACAACAATTTAGAAATATAGCATTTTTGCTTCTGTGAAGAAAGATAATACAACAGAGGAGGAGAGCCTTGGTATTGCTCCTGAGCTATGTGCCTGGAACGTCTCAGCCCATTCATTGTCCAGTAACCAAAACTTTGTGTTTTTTGGGCTTGATAAATCTAGGATGCTATTTGCATTTGGATGGACCCAAGCACCTTCTGCCCTTCTAGTATTTCCTGTGGGCTTCCTCTCTTGCTCACCCCAGTCTTGCAAATTGAACCAAGCCAATAGGACATCCGTGAATGCTTGCGGAACAGCAGTTGCAAACCAGCACCTTCTGCATCAGGTGCAGCAGCACAAAGGCAGCTGCAGGTGGCGTGGAAGAGGGCACTGCTTGTGCAGGGGCTCCACGGGTCACCCTTCCTGGTGAGCCCTGCATGAGCCACCTTCTTCTACATCACAGGCAGCCACCCAGCTAGTTGCCACACGTGGCACACAGCAGAGACACTGCTGGTGGTCGCACAGGGCTCCATTCGGGGCAAGCCCCCTGTGACCAGCCTTCTTCTGCACCAGATGCAGCCACCCAAGCGGCTGCTCCATGTGACATGAGAGGGGGGCACAGCTAGCAGTCATGTGGGGCTCACAGGCAATGGGGCCCCGCACAACTGCTAGCAGCGCCCCTCTTCTGTGCCATGTGTAGCAGCCATTTGGGCCATCTGTACTTATGGCACTGATTTTTAGGATGTGTTCTAGTGGCAGGAAATGCTTAGAAGCTCAGGGAATGAAGTACTTTTGTAGCAGAAGGAAAAGTTACTTCGACTGGGGTAAACCACGGCAGGCTGAGTATGGGCAGAGATCAAGGAGGCTGAATGAAAGATGCAGAGAGGGAAATGAATAGAGGCAAAAGAACTCAAAAGGATGGTCACTGGTTTGGGGAAAAAGAAAGAGGAGACCGGGAATTGAGGTAAAGGACACAGTGCTTAAGGTCAGGTGGAAACTGAGGAGTTATGGACTGCTGAAGAGACTGATCATGAGTAAGGGCTGCTAAAGGAACTATTTTCTAGGTGTAGCAATAGCTCCAGTAATACTATACTGTCACAGGTAGTTTCTCCTTTCATTGCAATATTTTGGCCGTTTGGGAACTGTCAGGGTTGTGTCCAGTGTTAATCCCACTTGCTCCATTCGATGCAGTGGTTCAACTCTAAGTAGGAGTAACAGCCCTACATATAAGATATAAAATTGATGAGTGCAACCCACGGTGCTGGAGGAGAACTTTGAGAATACCTGGGCCAACAGAGCAATGGACATCTGGGGTTTTAGATCAAAACAGACCAGAACTTTTCCTAGAAGCAAAATGACAAAACTGAAACTGTAGTACTTCAGGCACATCACAAGAAGGGGAGACTCACTAGGGAAGACAATAATGGTATGGAATGTTTAAGGCAGAAAAAGTGGAAGACCAAGTATGTGATGGATCATTTCCATGAAGGAATTCACAGGCTTGAGTTTCCAAGAGCTGAGTGGAGTTGTCAAGGACAGGACATTTTGGGAGTATTCATTCATAGGGTCACCGTAACTTGAAGGTTGCTTGACAGCATGTAAGAACAATATCTAGACTACAGTCCTATACACATTTATGACAGAGTAAGCCTCACTGAAGTTAATGGGATGTAATTCTGAATAGACAGATGTAGGACTGCACTGTTACATGTGATTTTATTCTGTTAAACAAAGGGCTTGTTGAACTAGGTTAGTTTAATGTTCAACATCTTAAATTAAGAGAAGTCCACTTTCTCATATGAACAATAGCTTGGAAAAGAAACAGGTTTTCTTTAACTCAAACATCATGTTGGCCATGCTATAGTTCAGAATGTTTTTAAAAAATGAAAAATACTTGGGCCTTGTCAGAGACAGAAATTGGGATATTTAGGTTGAAATTTTCTGATCCGCAGATGGCATTCTTCACTCCATCACCTCTCATTTGGCCTGCTATTTCAGTCAGCCTATAATGCTTGAAAAAATCTTATCCTGATGTGGTAATGTTTTGCCAGGTAGACACAGCCTCATACATGAGGTGTTTTCTTTGTTCACTTGATAAGTTTGCCTGTATATTCCACAGAACATTAATTTAGATAAATGTCTATCTAATTCAAGGCCCTCTGTCTATCCAGAGCCCTACTGACAAGAGCTAGGCAGAGTAAGAGGAGGGGCAGAGCTGAGTTTGCCTCCCATTCCTCTTGAAAAGAAGCAATTTCAAACTCACTTTGAATCACTGGTGGTTCACACAGTGACTGAGCAGCTGTGGGATCCCATGACCATATGCCTGTATTCTCTGCTCCTTGTGCTCTTCCAAGGTCCTTGTTGCAGCTTTGGAAGAGCAGCTACTGCAGTGCTTTCTGTGGCATCTGTGAGAGGTGTGGAAGAAGGAACGACTGGTCTTGAGAGTGGAGAACCACCCGAATGTCTGTTCCCTGGGATGCCGTCCCAGGTGTCATAGGATTGCTCTGTTAAGGCTTTTCGTATTAACCCAATCTTACAACTAACCACAGAAAACTAGGCTGAGGTTACTCTGACTTATCATTAATTTAGGGGCTTTTTCCAGTGATGAGACTGAAACAGATTGAAAACTGAAAGGCTCAATGGAAACATTCAGTATGATTTTACAAATAAATTATGAAGAAGAGATCTTTCACGTCACCTGGAACCGTGATCATTTGAACTAGAACCCAGATTGGCTCTGCCACTGCACTGTGGCCTGTGTTGTTTCAAAGTAAATTTTGTTTCTGATCCAAGTCATTCATAAGACTGATCAGCCCTATTTAATCCACATTAATCTGCACACACAAAAATCACTTTCTCACCCAAGTATTTTCTAAATGCATATCGATACATTTTTCAGCCAAGAAGTGCAATGCAAAATCCAGTGGATTGCTAGGTTGCAGCCTCCACATCAGTCTAAAAGGTTCAGGCTGTCTCTCCATTTACAAAGGGTGAATTCCTCAAAGGTCCATAACAAGCAATTAGCATGATATCATTTGGGCTGAATACACACAATCAGAAAAACTGCTACACACAAAACTTGCATTCTACTCAAGGCAACTGCAGAATCACCTAGTGCCCAATTTCAATAATTGTTAAAATGCTGATACAAATTATGATTTTTCACTTGCAACAACGAAGGAATTTTGTGGATAACAATGTAACATGTGCTCTCTTTCCCCCATCCTCTGCTTTTTTGGTTGTAGGAGCTGTGAGGGACGAAATATCAGATATAGAACATGCAGCAATGTGGTAAGTGAAAATAAATAATACTACAAATCTACTGTTATAGTACATTATGGCACATATTTACAAACATTTGTGTCCATAACTATGCTGTTCTCTAGAAGGTGACCAAAAATGTGTAGGTTTTCATTAGGGTGATGTGGAATGCTTAAACGGATTATTGTTATGTATTCATATTTACGGTGGAAATGCTATTGCCATGCTGGGATACATTTTTTTTCCCATACAAAGGCTGAATACTCATCTCTCTGAAGAGGAAACACAGAAGCAAGGGGAGGGGAAGGAATACCTTATTGAGGCTTCCTCTACTGCTTCTGCTGTTGAATGATCAAAATGCCCCACATTTAGTAGAGTGGTTTATCCACTATAAAAACTGATCCTGTGAGTCAGTCATAATGCTTGTAGTCATTCAACATAGTCACTACAATCCTGTGCAAGATTAAGTTGTTTACACCAATTGGCTTCACTAGGTGAACGAGCCTTGCACTCAAAGCATCACAGCGATCTTCCTTTTGTCTAGATACGGGCTGCCCTCATGGACCAAAACAAGGCTGCCTGGCCCGTTTTTTGCGGGTTATTTCCAACTCGGAGGCACTTATGCTACACCAAGGCATGGAAGAGAGCCACGAGATCAAATTGTGTCAGTCTAGAAACACGCTTTGGCTTCACAAAATGTGGCATAGGGGAAATGAAAGGGACGCTGTCAAAGTGGACGGGATTCCAATTACTCTTGCAGCTTTGTTTTGGTTTGCGCCAGAGCATGCACAGCACACAGGCCTCGCTGCTCCCTGCCTTGCTATGCTGCTTCCAGCATGAAAGGAAGTGAAATGTAATAGGATGCCATTCTGCTTTAGTTTGTTGTTGCTGGATCACCCTGCTGGGAAGCTGGGATTACACCTAAACTGAAGCCCTTGTTTATAGAAATAGCTGGACTTTTCCAGCACAAAGATTATTATTTTTCTTTTAAAAAATATGTTGTTCTTAGGATAGGTTCAATCTTGTGGCCGTGATACTGGAAACTTTTTCTTCTCTTCAAAGCTGGACTCAAAGAGATGGATTCTGTAGAACAGGAGTCATACAGCAGTTGCTTAAGTTCACCCCATGAGAGCTGTGTCTTGCCCCCATACCTTCGTTAAATAGTACCTTTTATCTCCAGTCAGAAATCAGAATTTGCAAACTCAGACTGGGTGGTTATGCCCAGAAATAGAACTACTTGAAGTTATAACCACACAATCTGAGGTCACAAATAGCTGACACTTCACAAAGCGACTGGGATCAAACAATACAATAGCCCACACTTAAAGGTTGAGTATGAGTTGAGCATAGGTTGTCATTGGCTCATGGGTTGTTGCTGAAGCAACATGTTGTCTGAACCAGCTGAGATGTTAAAAAAAATCTATGATAAGCAACCTGGAGTTCACAATCCAACAGTAAAACAGTTTCTTTTTACGGGCTGTTCATACTAATAAATCATGGCTTATTAGCACATCTGAGTTTAGACAGCACAATAATTCATATTTCAGCGACAACTCGTGGTTCCAACAACAACCCCTATTCAATGGAGGCAGAGACCAGTAAATTATGAGTAAATATAACAGGCAAAATGGGAAGGTAAAACACTCATAACCTCCAATTTCTGTATACTAAGTCACAGAACACGGAGGACAAACAGGATGAACCTAAAATCCTTATATGAAATTATGGGTGTGAGCTGATAGGTGTCATTAAGATTTGGTGGGTTGAGACTGGAATAGTGGAATTGAAGGGAATACCTTGTTCGAAAAGAATAGAGTTCTAATACAGTCAGGTGGATCAAATAGCTGGTTGGCCAGTCATACTCAGTGAGTTGTTGTTAATAGTGTGTTGCCACGGGAGTTTATCCCGAACCCTTTGCTTCTCAACATTTTAATGAAAGATCTGGATGAAGTTGTAGAGGGGTTTTTCATCAAATCTACAAATGACACAAAGCCAGAAAGGATAACCAATTCCATAGGAGATAGAATCTAGACTGACAAGGATCTTAACAGCCCAAAACCATGGGTAGAAACTAACAAGATAGAATTTGACAGATATAAATATAAATTCTCGCGCTTACATTCAAAACAATCAAAGGCATAAATACCAGACAAGGAAAACTTGGCTTGGCGCTAACATACATTAGAAGAACCTAGGAGTCTTCATGGATCACAAGTTGAATACAAGCTACTAGTGTTGCATAGCTGCTTAAAAAACAGCTAATGCAATCTTAGGCGGCATTAATACAAAAATAGTGTCTAGGTCATGGGAAGGAGTTGTTCTATTCCACACTTGGAATATTGTGCCCTATTCTGGGCATCGCAACTTAGAAAGGTATTCAACAACCGGACTGTGTCCAGAGAGGAGTGGCCAGGATGATATGTTTAGCTAGAGCAAAATATGGAATAGTTTAAACAGCAGAGGCCCTCCTCCGGGAACCCTCCGGGAAAGATATTAGGAGGCAACATACCCGGTGGAGGGCCTTCTCTGCAGTGGCGCCTTGCCTATGGAATGCGCTCCACAGAGAGGTCCGCCTAGCACTGTCGTTATTTGTTTTTTGGCGCCAGGTTAAGACCGGTTTATTCCAGCAATATTTTAATAACTTTTAATATTGGTTCTTATATGTTTTTAACTGCAGCCAGTGTGGGTCTGTAATTCACTCGTGTTATGTTTTATATTATTTTATCTGTGTAAGCCGTCCTGAGGCTTTCGCGACAGGATGGCATATAAATATTCTAAATAAATAAATAAACAATAGCTGCCTGACAACGTTGTCATGCAAAAATAGAGCAAAGTTGCTCTTTCTTGTTCCGAAGAATAGAAGCAATGCTTGGAAGCTGCAGCGAGGCAGGTTTGACTAAACATTACTGTAAACATCCTATTATGAGGGAGTTGGTTAGTGTGACATTTTCATCTACATTTTCATTTGTGGAGTTTTTAAAATATACTTACATTAAACAAACCAAAAAGCACAAAAGAAAACCTGGGAAAAGCCGGTAAGGTTTATCTATGAGCCGACTTATATAATAATGGTCCTGACCTGTAAGGAGTCTCCCCCTAGCTGTGCCAGGTGCCATTTCTGGCAACTGCTACAGGTTGATGAGAGCCCTACTCTATAGCCTTTTCAGCTGTGTTGTTTTTGTTACCACCATCACTGGCTTAGACTGGGTTCAGACAACACAACAAGCCATGGTGGTTTTTTACCGTTATTGATCTGTCAAATTGTCCAAACTAGCCGTGGTATTTCACAGTCTTTGAAAACCAGGATAGGTGTAGAGATGGACCCATTTCTCATTGCAGACTGTTCACATAGATGCATCATCAAATTCTGAGGAGGAGGAGGAGGAGGAGGAGGAAGAGGAGGAGGCAGTGTATTGGAAGTGGCACATGAGCAGGGGGTGAGGATTTCAATGTTTCAAGGTCTCCTAGTGAGCTTTCTCAGAGAGCATAAGAGCAAGCCTGCTTTGGAAGAATGGAAGGGTTTGCAGGAGGGGAGGGGGAGCAGATATGAGATCCAGCCCTTAACCCAGTAAGGAGGCACTGGGAGAAGCGAGCTGCGCAGCTTGGAGGGGCTTTGCCATTTGCACCATCTTGCTCTCCAGCAGCAAGAGCCACCTGAGGGTAGAGCCAGAAGCTTTACTGAATGGGAGCCACAAAGGGGAAGTTCCCCGTTTAGATTCAACTTTTTTACATGGGCAGATGCCTCTGCCCTAACTAGGTAGAAGGCTATTTAGAGTTCATACTGTTTTGTAATTTGCTGAGTTTCAATAAAAGAACTCCCCTTCAAAGGAATGTCTTGCTTTTTGGAATTGGAAAGAAAGTGGGAAGGAACTAGCCCATGGCAACAAGAAACAGCAGTTTGTTCTATAATTTCTTGATACTCCCATGATGGAGGGGATTGTGGTTAAACTGATTGTTTTCATTTAATGAAAATCTCTGTGAAGCTGCAGTGGCTGGGAAGTGCCTCAGGCATGCGGGTTCACTCTGGAGGGGGGACCCACCTCGGGATCACCACAACCCAACGGGGATGGGGATGCCAGGATGCATGGCAAGACTGGGAGGGTGGCGCATGGACTGTGGCAAGTGCACTGCCCAGATGACCGTGTGATCACCGGACTGGTGGTTTCCAGCAAAAATCCGTGCAATATGGAAACATCACAGGGTTACTGGGCATTTTGTGTGAATCCAGCCATTATCTGTGCTGACGGCAACTAATCAGAGAGCCCTGTGGTTCAGAGGGGGATACTGCTTCATTCAGTCTCTCCTGGCTTTTCATGAGAGTGCTCGACGGAGAGCAAATTGCAATAGGAAGAGGGGCAGATGGTGGAATCATGACCAGCATATTGCATGAGAAATTCCATTTTTCTGCTGTGATTCTTCTCCATGTTGAAGCATCTTTCTCCTCATCCTCTTCTATCAACCCCCAGCTTTCCCTCGGTGAAGATCTACTAAGGATTGACTTGTTCAAGAACCACAAACCCATCGATTAGGTCCCCCTAGATGTAGTTATTCACACAGAGAACATGTGTGGGCGTGCTCCCCCTGCCCCGTCTCTGGAACCATGACTATAGCCAGTGTTTCTTTGTTTTTAGGTGGCTTACATCCACCTTCCAAACGTTCTTTCTTTTGGCTTGGTTTCCGACACCAAAAATACCCTTACATCCCATTCTCCTTCCCTCATTTATTTCTTGTCTCATTGACATTATGTTTTTTTTACATCACATGGCATTATCCCACCTTTTTTTCTCTTGCAAGGAACCCAAGGAAGCTTCCATGATTCTCCTCCACTCCTTTTGTTGCCCTCACTACAAACCCTGTGAGTAGGTTAGGCTGAGAGTGACTGACTGGCCCTAATTCATACACTGAGCTTGTTGTGGCTGAATGGAGAGTAGAACCCAGATCTCTCAGGTCTCCAGTCCAACACTCTGGGCACCACACCACACTGGTTCCCACCAGCTCCTGCTTTGTACATCTTCTCCATCAACTTAGAA